AAAAGCGAGCCTCTATGGTCAACACACAGAGTACACAGTCCAACTGTGCATTCTGGTCTGATAAGAAGTGATAGCATGGTCGCCATTGCTGTCGGTTCGCAGCCATGACCTTCAGTGTCTTCACGCATCCAGTTACTGAGGCTTTTGGACCCCAAGCCGGAAGACGAGAGAGGATATAAATTNATATAAATTGATGATCGTAGGACATGATGATACACACGAGTCAACCATAGATACTGATAAAGGTTGAGCACTTGTAAGGCTGTCGAACATTAAAAAAAAACAATCGATGTACTGTTGCGTCGGGTCGCATGAACCCGCACTAGAGAGTTTAGAACAAGCACCGGTTATGTGAATTAGCTTCATACACCTCTGGATTTGACTGCTGGATACAGATGGTGGGTACGGGTGTTATTCACACGTGTATCGATCCATTCATTCCCTTCTCGACCTTAGATATTTGTTAATTGATCAACATTATCCACCAAATCGGTATGTTTGTTTTCCCCCATGGATCACTCCGTTCTCTCTGTCTTTTTTCAGAATTCTTATATTCGTTTAGTTGTGCCCGTTTGCTGGACTGTGTTATCATTGTTGTCAGATCTACCCGGATCATGCGGTGCAGCACACGCCTCTCACCGCGCATCCCCGACAACGACGGATCCCACCGGTTGGAGTCCCAACATGTCCACCACCGCAGACGGTTCCGATGAGACAATTCACAGACTGGGTCGTATCAAACTAGGCCTTGCTGCGGCATTCTTTTTCAGCGTACTCTTGGTCTGTGGTCTTCCCATTGTCCTTATTGACTGGCTCCAGAAAAAAGATGCTCCGGTCTACAGTTCATCTCCACGCACTAGTGGTGGGGGCGTCGGTGGTGGTAGTGGACGCCGCTCTCCCAGGCCTTTAGCCAATTCCAGTGTTCTAATTCGTGGCGACCGTAGCGGTGGGGATTTGGACGCAGATAGTCCGTCAGATTCACCCTGTCATACTCGATCGCCAACCGATATTTCATGGCCCAACGGTTTGCCTACTGGTCGTCGCAGTCCGAGATCACAGTTACATCGACCACAGCAACCAAAAGTGTCCACCACCTCGGAACCTCTATCTACCCCAAATCAAAGCCCTAATCCGGCAGATGCTGAACACACAGATCTATTGACTGGGGCTTTAGTCCCCACTAACAGTGGTGGATGGCCGCACCATCCACGACGTCATCACGATACGAGCGGACATGAGACACGCCGCGCAGAAAGAATGGGTGCGCGATTACGTCGTACTTCTGTTGGTGCTTTGCGGTCCTTCGCAATGCGTAAAATGCTCCTACGACGGTGGTTCAGTCGACTGAATTGTTTTGCCGCCGGAATTTTTCTATCATCCGGTACGCTCCCTGATCGCTCGGAGCTTTCAGTTTTTTATTAATCCATGATGTTTTCAGTCGCTAAGCTTACTCTTGATAGTTGGAAGAGAATGAACCAGAATAAGGAACAGCGTTCGGTAAACAATTTCAATGCAAATTGACAAATATCATAGTTTGTTTATTTATTGATATTCTTACGTCAGTGTCTCACTTACTCTTTGAAAGTTTGTTTTATTTCCTGCATTTTGTCTAAGTTTTCTTTGTGAAACGGAATTGCATTTGTCAATCAGACTGAACGTCTTACTCATCACTGACAAGCTTTTGAAGTACTTTATGGCTGTTGACTCCGTGTTACGAATCATCATCAGTGCATGTACACCGAGTTCACTGGGATTCGAACCCGGGCTCAATAGGGAGGGGGGCGTTAATCCAACGCGCCAATCACTTAGGCTATCCGGGCTGACCCTCAGCAATCAGTGACACCGCAACCGTACCTCTGATTGTGCTTATTCATCACCCACCATTGAAAGTACGGGACGTTCAACAGAAAGCGATTGAATCCCTATGGGCTCAGTGGATACGCACAGCAGATGATGATTCCTGACAAGAATGAACCAATCAGACGGTGCGTTCAAAGCTTTTCAATGATGAGTAGTAGTAGCACGTTGATGCTGCTTGACAAGTATACTTTCTATTTCGAGATTGTGAAAAGTTCACTAGCCTCGGTGGGATTCGAATTCACGCACGGACGCCGCCTACGCTTTTGTACAGCCCACGCTCTACCAGCTGAATGACCTACGAGATCACACCGACAGAGTACTGATGTCTTCACATTCGACTTATCCATCCAACTTACAAAGGCATATGCCATCCACCAATTGGCATGTAAGCTGACTGCCCCGACGGGTTTTCCTTAGAATTCACGGGAATCCACTGTATGAGCTTCTAAGGCAAGGTTAATTGTTCAAATTGTTTGGCAGATATGTGAGATAGTTAGCTTACATGCTAACTGGTGTATGCCATATGCCTCTGTAAGTTGGATGGGTAAGTCTAATGTGAAAAGATTAGTGCTATCGGTGTGGCCTCGTAGCTCAGCTGGCAGAGCGTGCGCTGTACAAAAGCGTAGGCGGCGTCCGTGCGTGAATTCGAATCCCACCGAGGCTAGTGAACTTTTCATAATTGACATGCAAGCATCAAATCTGGCAAGCAAAAATTTGAACAAATTTAATTTCATAAGACAAAATAACAAACCAAGAACATTGGTTTACTGTCTCGTGTTTGTTATGACTCATCAGTAAGGTGCCATTTTTGTCTCTGTGCCTGGTATTGCGAACATTCCGGTTCAGAATCGAAGCTCATACTCCTGAGCTCGACACCTTGGACTACATGAATTAAGTAGGTTATTTCTTCCAGAGATTCACTCGAAGAGTTCGAACATAAACAACAAAAAAGCTGGGTTCTTTTCGGCGTTCAGAATTGGTTCATCCGCACAAAAAATTAAGTCGACTGGCCCGTGATTAATCCACCGTAGTGAATTAAAAATGAATACCGAACGTCAAAATCGAAACGGTAACTTAGTTCTCAAGTGAATTATTTCCACCCTCGTTTAGTTCCCACACTGGCACCCAAGTCAATAGATCAAGTGACCGGATGTAACAAAATGATCCGGTTCAAAGACGAATGTTTGTGTGTGTTTGGAAAAGGCATGGTTTTCATCCCGGAAATCATGGTCAATTACTGTTCAAATGTTTTTTTTTTCAGTTTTAGTTTTCTACGACCACTGATTAACCTTTCGTGCGCATGCCGGTTTTGGTTTCTGTCTTTTGGCTGCCTATTTGGATGAAACAATAGGAGAAAGACAGGAAAGTCAAAAGTAGGGTCGAACAGAAAATGGAGCATTGCAGTGGACTAAAGTTGCAAAGAAATTGAGAAACGCCACTGTTAACGACACTCTAAACATTGCAATAATCTCGGGGTCCCCATTCAGGGACTCGTTATCAAGGTTTATCCTTCTATCTCGTGGGGGGGGGAAGGAACCACATCCGTTTATTCCATCCACCAAATAGTCTTCTTCCGGACGACTATTCGAGTCCAGAACAGAAAATACTGATCGCTGGTTGTTATGTGCTAGGTGATCATGAGTGCGGAAAACAAAAAAACTTCTGTCTTGTAGGTCTAAATGATCAGATATGTGTTAATCTCCTCAGTCAGTTGCATTGATCACAGGCCTCGGGTCCCGCCCGGTAAGATAGCCGTAGTGTTAAGCCCGGTGACAATGAAACTTTTCACCACTTTAGTGAGATGGCGAATTGTGGGATCTCAACCTGGAGTATTCAGTCTCATCTCACATCAATTCCGATCTCGTCTTTAGTTTTCCAAATTAATTGGCGACCAATGTATGCTTGTTGTGCCACAGTCCGGTCGAGTGCTGCAAAGCTGTCCTGTCCCCTTTCAACTGTGCTATAGAGTATATTCCTACAGAATGCCTTGCCTGGTCGAGTTGAACTCCTCCCAAGAATTAGATGAGATCTTGACCTGATCACATTGTCTTGCTGGTTGACAGTACACAAGTAGTCCAACTTGCTTTAGACTGATAGTTAGAGTCACTGAGTGTCGTAAACAGCGCGTTCGTGCATCTTCTCAATTTCCGTGCATTATTAGTTCACTGAACTTCTCAATTTTCTCTTCGATCCTACTTTCAACCTCCTGTTTTCTTCCTATTGTTCACCTAAATGGGCAGCCAAAAGCGACGCATAAAAATGCATGCTTAATGGTTGTTTAAACTGAACTGAACTGGGACCGGTTTGTGATAACCAAATACGCATAAGCTTGTTTATCTATACATACCCGTACCCCGTGAAAGACAAAAAAACTTCAAAACATGTATAGAGTGAAACTAACAAGTAGTCCTTCTTCCTGTTCTCCTTAATCCATTAGTCTCCATTTTTCGCCTCACTAAATCTGCCCTTCAATCCACCATTATTGCGATAGTGCGGTAGATCGGTTTTCCGCTCGGACTCACATAGGTTGGTACCTGGTACGTCTCCTTCTGGATCTTCCGTCGAGCTGGGGAAATCGTGAATGGGTTAACGAAACCCGCTCCCTTATTCAGTTTCTGTACACTCCAACCCACCGCAAAAATTTCAATAAATTCACGTATGGTAACTACATCATGATGTATACAAAACCCCTTTCCTTGATAAGTCACACTTTGCGCGCTTTGTTCATCGCAAAACTCGGTAAACTTCATGTAGTTTCTAGTTGTCTTAGTGACGAACAAAATGATCCAACAGCAACAATAATTAGACCGTGAACTAGTAATAATAGTCACCTCCCGGACTGAGGATATTTTGCGGCTGAATTGCAAGTGACAATCATAATACTCATTGTCATCGACTTGATTTAGATAGATAGATAGATAGATGGTTGGACAGGCAGATTGATAAATAACGTTGTAAATCGTCTCATTTCCCACTTTTAGTTATATAATTGCCACCTATTCCAGAAACTGGTTCCATCTGAATTTCCATTTCTGGAGATCGGAAACTGCTAAATTGATAACATACACGATTTTTTCAGCCTCATAGTTTTTTTCTTGCTCAATACTCTTCATACAGGATTTATGGAACTGTATGTGGATGTGGAAGAATCGATCGAGGAAGCCAAGACCCAACTAAATGTGACTTCCGAATTTCCATTTGCACCGTTTCTCACACTGATCGGATTTTTTCTTGTGCTCAGTTTGGAACAGATCATCTGGACTGTGCGTCTGTCACGACACGAGTCACCTGCGTCGGCCAGACCATCCGTCACCTCTATCACACGCGACACTGACCTTCCCTCTCCCTGCGGAAACGGTTGTTTTAGACGCGGAACCAAAGCGGACGAGTCTGTCGAATCCCCTCAGACAGCAATCTCTCCTTTGAACACAGGCAATCATTTTACTTTTACCGATGAGATTGTCATGCCCTCGGTCCCCACAGGCACCACTACTGTCACCCTGACTCCGACCTGTCCGGATCCGTTCGATTATGAACCGACCGGAGATTTGTTCAGCGGGAACAGATTGCGACGCTCATCCAAACCGGAACTAGTGCTCGATCAGAATCACACTCCCACCAGTCCCACGCACCCATTGCACAATCATGCCGATTACAATCATTCTTCGCATTATACACGACATCATCGTCATTCACAACATCAGCATTCCCATTTGCCCAGCGCGGACAGTCTGACCTCATTTGGCGCATTGCTCCAAGTGGTTGTTCTACTCTGTGCCATGTCCGTACATTCCTTGTTCGAGGGTCTCGCAGTCGGGCTTCAGTCTACCGTTCAGCACACTCTGTCCTTGTTCTCGGCCATTCTACTTCATAAGCTGATTATCGCGGCCGGAATTGGAGTCAATTTGGCCACGGCTACCACCACCAGCGACTCGTCTCCGGCGAGCGCCACCGATTCGCCTGGTGTTGGTCGTCCCTCAGTAGTCAATCGTCGACTCGTCGCCTATCAATCACTGGCCACACTGATCTTTGCCGGTTCTTCCCCACTGGGTGTCCTCATCGGTTGGGCGTTGATTCGTGACGCACAACAGTCCGGCACATTGCTCATGTCCACCGCAATTTTGCAAGGTCTCGCTTGTGGCACATTCTTTTTTGTCGTGTTCTGTGAACTATTACCAACCGAGTTTCGTGAAGGTGTGGGTGACCGGTTGGGTAAAGTGTTGTTTCTCATTTTAGGCTTTCTAATGGTCGCACTCTACTCATTTTTTATGCCTCATTGATTGATCATGTGATCTTTTATCTCTCATCTCTTTATGTGTGCGTGGGTTGTGTTGTTTTTTCTTTCAAGCGACAAAAGGATATGAAAGATACATTCGGACACCCCGGTTCTATGCCCACGTCAGCTTTGGTATTAGTGGTGACATCGCTGTTAGAGGGCATCAATCAACCCATCGATATGTTTATTCTCGTTTCCTTTCATACACTCTGGCCTATTCGCTCGTCTGTCCGTCTATTATAGTCTCAGTGAATGTGTTGTCTTTCCGTGTCATCGGGTAGTCTGGTGATTCATTTTAAACGGCACCGAACCGGGACTTGTTCAACCGAACACACACACACACAGACTTTCCATTTATTTTTGGATCGTTTACACATCCCTTGTTATACGCTTTTATTACCCAAGCGCAATTGATTTCTGCTTTGATCCTCACCATTTGTCTATGCACTTGTGATCTGACTTGAGGTTACCGCATTGGTCTTGTTCGCTACGGGGTATGCAAGCGCGCTAGCATGTTGGTTTGCTTTAACGGACTGGACTGAATGATTTGCATTCCTACCACTCTTCTCCTCCTCACTGTCGGTCGGTCTCGATACACCGCTTGTGTCATGTTTTGGCTCATGTGATAACGGATGACACTGTTCTGCTTGATGCCCTGTTTTTACGCGTACTTGGTTGTTACGCTTTATTTGTCTGTCTTAACCCGCGTGGACTTTTCATGCCAATCAACAACATGG